TTATTTTTAATATTTTACACAAGGCTGCCAAACAGTCTGAAGAGAGCTATTTTGGTAGTATGACAACCCCGGAAGTTTAAAAACGTCACAAAATATAAAACCGGTTTTGCAAGTTCTCAACGGCAACGTCAGCATGGAAGTGAGATTTGTATCGCGTGCCACCAGAGGTTCTCTTCGCCTCGCGTAAAATAAATATACGAGCGGGAATAAGGCGAAAGATACAGAACCTCTGGCAACCAGGGTAAGCAATTATGCAAGCCAAGCGATTCCGCTTTTATGTGCCTTCGGTCAAGTTTATATGCTGTAGGCTGTTGCACTCATGTAATAACGACTGGTACGTCAGTTATAAAATACAACACACAATTAATATACTACGTTTGGCATAACGTGACCAAAATTGAGATAACAATATAATGGATGATTGAAAAATAACATGTAGAATTAGTTTGTCTTTTGCCTTTTGGTCAAGTTCAGCTACATCGCAATCAATCGCTTCGTTGTCACATTTTAATGGCTGCTGAAAAACATTTATTCCTGATACTCTGAGTTTTATCACACATAATTTTCGAGCTGGACTGTTTATCAAAGGCGCGTTGGCGATATATCAGTAACGAGCAGCATTACTCATTTACACAAACGCCATGAGTTGGACGTTTTTCTAACGCTCTTTGAGCGAAAAGCATCAAAGGCTGGTAAATTAGCGATTCGCCATATTACCGATTGGAAAAATTGCCAGTATACACACGCCAAAGGAGAGCTTTTCTAAGCAAATAAGTGCTTGTGCTTCAAAATAGTGTTTGCATACAAAATATTTATGATAGAAAACTGCAAACAAATAAGAAAAATAATGCATGTTGAATGTTTTTGCATATTACAGTTGAAGTCACTTCTCGTAGCTTTTCTACAGTCACTCCTCGGCGGGCCTTGCAAACACAACATTTAACCGGAAGTTGGAAATTACAACATATCACATTTCAACCACCCTCCCCTGGGACCTCTTGTTGTCCTAATTTTTAGGAGGTCACGTGACCAGAGGGAACCAGGGTCTTCGCCGGAGCCCGAGCGTACGTAAAAGACCCTGGCTTGCGAGGTTGCTGCAAAGTTTATGTACACAAATGTATACATTTCCGTATTCGCATGTTTTTGCCATTTTGATTTGTACCCGCCTGACCCATGTAAAAAATGACAAGAAAAGACAAGTAATTAAAAAGCAATTTATTGAATGACTCGCAATTTACATGCTGGGTCTATACTGGTATGTTTTTACGTGCTAATACTGTTCGAATACATGACTTCAATCCTATTAATCGAGTCTAATCATCATTCTCTTCATCATCATCATCATTCTCCTCATCAAATTTCTGACCCTTTAAAAGCCTTTTTATAAGAAACTTTCTCATATCAACAGCTGCTTCTAACGCTTCTTCTGGATCAAAATCCTCGTTTTCCACAAGTGCATTTTTTGTGTGCATAATCTTCTTATGAACTGGATCTTTCTTTAGCTGTTTCATCCACACGAGACGCTCCATATAAATATTTTCCAGTTCCTTCTGGAGTTTAGGAAGAATATTAGAGTAAGCTTTGTCCTTAGCGGATTGTTCATCTAGACCACTGTTGATAAGGCTTTCTTTCATTTCCTCAAATGTTATATTACTTATTTGCTTTGCTTCTTCTATCAACGGTATCCAAGGATCCATTTTCCTCTTCACTTTCTGACTCATTATCAGTCATCGTCGAAATTTCAGACACTTCAGTTGAAGTTATCGAAACGTCGTCTTGAAAATCCCTTTCCTGGCTACCCAAGTCCGTTTGAGACATGTTTCTTTCTTGTGCACCTAGGGGACAGTATTCCTTTTCGTGTCTTCCTAGATTGTAACCACGATTAAATTGCTTTCCGCAAAATTGGCAGCTCATTCCGTTAGCACTGACTGTGCAGAAATGTCTTGCTATTGAGCAGTATTGCAGTTTTATGAGCAGATGAGCATGTGCTCATGAGCAGTTATGAGCTTGTGCTCATACGCACGGGACGCAGGGACGTTTGTACGGGACGCCCGGGACTTGCTTGTGGGACACTTTGAGAAGTGTCCCTATATAAATCGCACTGATTTTAAGAGCAAAATGTTGTTGCCAAAGCTACCGCGTTGGTTGACTGCATGCATAAATTAACACATGGATTAACATTTTGTACACGCGATAGTTATATCGCACGCAAGAACGCAGATTATAGTGTTTCAAACAATCTAATTCACATCGCAATCAATTAGTCAACATGCAGTGTAAAGCAGACATCGTTGGGATCCTTGACATGGACGGATTTCAAATTGGAAGGAAATTTTTCTGTAAGGAGTTGGGAGTCATAAAGGTCGGAGACCCTGAAGCCTTGTCGTTCTTTTTCGATATTGGTTTACACTGGAACGAGCTCAACGAGAAAGACAAGAGAACGTGTAACTTCGTCCAGAAGAATATACATAAACTCCCGTTTGGAGTGCCACGGGGCACTAAAGCATTTCAAATTTCGGACTTGCAGGCAATTGTAGAGAATTTCTACCGTGAAATACAGATAGATTCAAACTCTACAATTGCTTTCAAAGGCGGACATTACGAAAGGGACTTGCTGGCGAGTCTCCGTATTCCGGCCGTAAATTTGGAATGCTTTAATTGTCCCAAAGCTGAAAAACTATTTGATCAACTGATCTGGTTAGAAACCTGCGGGAACCACCTGGAAAGCAACGCTTATCAACACTGCGCAAAAGTCGAAGTCGAAGCCTTTGCGATGTGGCTGCAACAGTAAAGACAAACACAAAACACCGGTTCTTTTAAGAACCCTCAAATTTATAAAAAGAATAAAAACGAAACATATTAACATATTTACACTGAATCTCAAAGTTTACTTCTCAAATATTCCACATATGCCTTATAATGATCCTCTTCATGACTTCTAAATTGCTCGCCTGTCGCTTTCACAGTATACTTAAAACTAGGGGGCATTGAAAAAAAGACCGTAGCCCCAGGTTCAAGCGGGTCATCACGACAATCCTCTTTCCAGCTAGAAATTTCGTCTAAAAGTTTGTCCTCTCTCCAGTATGAAAGATAATTCAAAATTGACTCAAATTCACTATCCTCGATGTTTTCACGAAGATCCATCAGCGAGTAAACAAACGTTGAATCAGGACTTTTCTCTAAATTGTCAAAGTGCTCTCGAACATCTTTATGATACTGTAACTTCATCACTCTAATAGCCTCAACAAACTCCCTCCAAACCATACGCTTAACAATCACTCGCTCTATGGCTTCCAAACCATACGATTGCCATCTCTCTTGTTCTGATAACATGAGACAGTCATGCTGGCGTTGACTCGGATGGTCGTACTCACAACCACAACATCTCTCTTTAGCAAGTTTACCAACTTCGCAAGCAACAGCCTCTGCATATATAGCTTCTAACAAACTGAAAAGCCTTTTATAATCAGAGGACGAAACTTCGTCTGCATGAACACTGTTGGCCCAGTTCGATTGCTCAAAATTTTGTAAAAAATTCATTTTCAAAGGCTTAGTATGCAATGATATCAGTGAATAAACGCGCAGTCTCTTTTATAGACATGTGCAATACAATTACGTAATGCTTACAAACCGGATACATACAATTGAACGTTCATACTTCATAATTTATGCGGGAATAGCTGAACGTTCGTACTTCATAATTTATGCGGGAATAGCTGAACGTTCATACTTCATAATTTATGCGAGTATTTCCGGTGATGTCATTGATATGACGTCATTGGCGGCATCCCTTTGGACGCTGGATATGAGGTTACCTACTAATAATTTATTGTAGTTCACGATGTCAAAGTACTCAAGCAACGAACGTTTAAATGCTTGAGCAGTGGATATATTACGTTCTCTAACCTGGAGATTGTTCCACATTGACGTAGCTGAACGAAAGAAGGATTTTTTAAATCTCTCCGTCTTTGACCTATACAAAGTAATATTCTCTGAATTTCTCAATAATAACCCTGACCTTTGTAGCACTGTCTGGGGCAGCAAATCGGATAAATAATTTGGAGTAAGGTTATTAACAATTTTGTAATATAAAACAGTCTTGATCGGCTGGTGCCCTTCATACCGCCCGTGACCACTCTTGCGGATTCATATTGAATTGATTCAATAAGGTCGCACTCACTCAGGGAGCAATTGTCCCAACGAACATCAGCATATTCTAGAATAGGCCTTAAAAGTGCCTTGTATAGATTGTCTAAAGCTGCTCTATTTATTCTAAATTTCAAACCCTTTAAAAGGTTTAGTCTTTTTTATGCTTTTTCATAAATATTAAACACATGCGTTCTCCACGAAAGATTAGAAGAAAGGGTGACACCTAAATGTTTATGATTACTAACAGACTCAATAATTTGATTATCGTATTTTAACTGTGGATGCAAAGGCTTTTGACGTTTGGTAGAAAACACCATAGACTTAGTTTTATCAGAATTTATGGTTACACGCCATTTATGAGTCCATGTATTTATAAGCTCAAGATCATCATTTAGCTGTGCCACAGTAGCGTCAGGATCATCGACTACTTCGAGTAAGGATGTATCGTCAGCATAAAGAAAAGAACTGCTCTGAAGGTCGGTAGTAATATCATTGATATAGATTAGAAAAAGCAAAGGACCTAAAACAGAGCCTTGGGGTACACCTGCTTTAATTTCTCTCCAGATATTGAGAATTCATGGTAACATGTATGGTAACATATAGACTTGCCCAAGTCGCTCGCTAGGGACTGCGCGTTGCAGCAAGAGGGGAGCGCTTGGGAAAGACGGAAGCGAGCGACTTGTGTCACTTGCCTGATTTTGAATCTTACTTTAAAATTTGGCGCGAAAATCAATTATGACCTATGTCATGGGCGTTCACCATGTCGATTTCACTAGTTCATTATTATTATTATTATTATTAATGGTTTATTTGCATATTATCGCATTGAAAATGAATTACAATATGCTTACATGGAAATATACTAAAATTTACAAAAATGCTAGAATATTAATTACTATATCTAATATAAATGTTAAAACCTAATATACAAATTAAGACCATAAAGGCCTATACGTCAACTTGACTATAGCACATTGCCGGGATAAAACTGTTCTTAAACCTCTCAGTTCTACATTTGGGAAGCGATAATTGATTATTATTTCTCAAACTCCGTCCATGGACGTTTCCACGAGTTGACGGCAACAAGTGGTACAGTTTCGAGCAAGGATTAGCAATCTTTTGTAAGGTATTCTGACATATTGACTGCCTTCTATCATCAAGGCGAGAACAACGACTGATAGATAGGGCTTCCGCATAATCAGTGAAAGGGTACAGAATTCGCAGAGCACGTTTCTGCACCCGTTCAATTTTATTGGAAAGATACTGAGGTAGGTTGGTATGCCAGACTGAACAAGCATATTCCAAAACAGATCTGATTAAGGCGTTATAGATTGAGAGCAAGTCAGCGGGTGGAATTCCAGATCGACGCAACACCCGAAGGATGTAAAGGCGTTTCGACGCTTTTTTTACGATAATTGCAACGTTATCATTCCATTTAAGGTGATTATTAATAGTCAAACCCAAAATCTTGAAAGATGTAACCAGTTCCAATTGTTGATCATTAATGTGTAATGGAGTATAGTTATCACTTTGTCGTAAAAAGCTGACAACCATTTCCTTGCATTTCAACCCATTCAGTTTCATGTCATTCTCACATGCCCATTGTTGGAGTTCATTGAGTTCAGTTTGTAATCGCGATTCCTCAGTTTCTTTTATAACCTCAGAAATCGTTACATCGTCAACGTATTTCCAATGAGAGGAGTTTAGGGACTTCATTTTCAGATCATTAATCATAACTAAGAACAAGATAGGGCCAAGTTTTGTTCCTTGAGGGACACCGCCATTTACATAAGCCCACTCCGAGCGAGACTCATTAATTTTCACTGCCTGACGACGATTTGAAAGAAAATCACATATCCATGGGATCAAACATCTTCTTACTCCAAGGGCTATGAGTTTCGCAATCAAAATGTTATGGTTGATTCTGTCAGAAGCTTTGGAGAAATCCAAAAAACAAATACGTAGATACCGTTTTGGGCTATCCAGTGCCTGCAACCAGTTGTTAATCATATCAATAAGGGAGAATGTTGTAGAAGATCCCCTTAAGCTACCAAATTGCTTCGGATCGATTTTGTCTTTGACATCATCAATCATCCAGGTAACAACGAAGTCTTCCAAAACTTTTGACAGAGTGGCAGTGAGGGCAATTGGACGGGTTTCATCCTCACACGTTATCGGTTAGGCTTTCGGGATTGGGACGATGTTAGCATCTTTCCAAGGTATAGGGAATTCAGAGTGCAATAAAGACTTGTTGAAGATTTTGGCCACCGGATCAGCTAACTCTTGAGCATATTGACTAAGCACTCGATTAGGAATACAATCAGGGCCGTTGGATTTAAATGCCTTTATTTTGAGCAGTTTAAAACAGACCTGTGCGATTGAGATAGATGGTGGGGGTTCGGGAGCTGGAAGGTACGCAGGCAAAGCACCAAGGTCGAGAGGAGGAAGGTCAGCGCTGGCTGATAAAAAGTGCTCATTTAGTTTACCACACAACTCAAGATCGGACATTGGTACCCCATCGCTGGTAATGTCAAAATTAGGCGTTGACTTTTCCTTACCGGTGATCTGTTTAATGTAGTTCCACCATTGCCTTGGGTTGCTATTTTTTAGATTTTTAATCTTCCTGGCGTAATACGTATGCTTTTGTGATGAAATTTCTCTTTGTACCTTATCCCTATGATGTAACCAAACTGCACGGTCGCCGCTGTGGAATGCACGCTGTCTTTGGATAATCAACTGTTTCAACATTGGCGTCATCCATGGTTTGTCAGTTGCATGAATCTTAATGGTTTTGGTAGGGAAAAAGAGGTCAATGGCGGAGCTAAGTTCAGATGTAAAAGAAGAAGCCAAAGCGGTGGCAGAATCGGGATGCTGAACATCAGAAAACCATACGTGGTCACTGCACCATCTTCCAAACGCCGCACACGATGACTGGGTAAAGCGACGCACTTTACGTTTTGTTATTCCTTTCTTTATCAAACAAGCAGCACTGTCGGTATTTCTACTCCAATTGATAACATGATGATCAGATCTGCCCAAAGGTGCAGTTACCGTAGGAGTGCTGTAGAAGTGGGACATATTGGTTATTATTAAGTCCAAGATGTTATTGCCACGCGTTGGTTCCCGAACTACTTGTTTTAGATTGTGACTGGAAAGGAGGTCAGCAATGTTTAACATGTTGAAGTCTCCAGTGATTACAATGCCACAGTCCGGAAATGCTGAACAAATCTGGTCTAAACTGTCAATGATATGTTTTATTAAGTCTGACCCTTCCTGCGCGGAAATACCCGGGGGACTGTAAACAACTCCCAACATTATGCCTGACAAAGGGCGAGGAAGGCGAGTTGGGCGAAGCCAGATCCACAAGCATTCAAACGCTGCATTTTCAAGATCTAGCCTTCTTTTACTGGGGATATCGGATGATATATAAACGCAAACACCGCCACCTCGACCAAAGACTCTGTCCTTTCGGTAGATGTTAAAACCTTCGATAGAGAGTAAATTATCATCAATGTCCTCACTTAACCAAGACTCTGTAATAGCTATAACATTTGTAGGTTGGAAAGATATGCGCGCGGAGAGTTCATCGATCTTCGGTAATAATGAGCGAACATTCATCAAACTAAACC